CACCCCTAAGGCGGTAAAACGGGATTGGAAGTGTATAATGAAAGACTTATGTTTTCACGCGTATGAAGTCGCGGGCGCAGCTAGTAATCTAAACAATGACATTAAAACTTAAGCAGGCGAAGACACTGGCAGAAACTAGTTTACGTAATAAAATCAAAACTTATAAAATTTCTTGATATCAAGGATATCAAACCATTTATCATAATAATCTAAATAATCACCCATTATAAAACAAACAATGCAATAATTACAAGTCTATCAACCATGCAAAATGTGTGTAATGCGATCAAATGGTACTTACTTCGTTTAATTTTTAGTTTAAGTTAATTAGAATAGGTCGTGAGCAAAATGCTGATAAAAATAGTGCATTTGGGTGAGTTTTTATTTTATTTGTAACGAATAAAATATACATTTCGTAAATTTGAAGAAACGTACTATGAACCAATTTAGTAGTGAAGTTTGTTAATACCTATTAGAAAATATCCTATCTAGAAGGTGCTGGACATACATACGAGTATGATCATTTTTTCAACATCTTTTTGTGTGATAGCTATATACATTATCTACAATTTTACGAAACCCTATTTTTTTTTCATAATAAAATTTAGCCTATGTTACTCGTGGATAATGTAACTTTCGAATGGTGAAAGAATTTTTAAAAACGGTCTAGTAGTTTTTGAGCCTATTCATTACAGCCAAAGAAACAAAGTTTTCCTCTTTATAATATTAGTGTAGACATAAAGTAAAGGCACATAGTAGCATGACCAGAAATAAAATTATCCTTTAGAAGGCTCTTTTCACGTCTTTTTTGGGGATTAACAGACCTAATATTTTACCTAATGTAATTTTATTTGTTTCAGTAATTTTATTCTTCATTCTCTCGACGATTGCTGCCAGACATTCTAGAAGAGATTATTACTCAGATGAGTCGTCTGAGTCAGAAGAAGAGCCCAGACCTTGTGGTAAAGCACGAGTAAGTACTTAAAACCAGGCTTAATAACGAAGTTTAGGTAGATATAGAACACTTTATTGTGTACCACACAAAATAAGAAAAGAAAGAAATACACCAAAGAAACGGCTTAATTAAGGTCTTATTGCTATGAAACAATCTCTTCTAGACAACCTAAAGAACAGTGTCTGAAATAAGTAAAAAGGTTATGTAAAAAAAAACTACATATTTTAGAAAACCTTCATTCATTTTCTCTACCAGAGTTTCTTAGAGAGATTTCGCACTACGTTCGATCCACGTCCGCAAGAAAATACATTTTGGGGTAGTCGTAGAACATAGCTATGAGTCCATGAGTGCCCAGCTATTAGGAATTCTAAGGTAAAACCTGGTCCGTGAGCACGTAGAATTTTGTCCAATGACCCCAAGCTACCCATCCTTATCGCTCGCGCGTAATTAGATTGGACAAATTTCTACGTGCTCACGGACCAAGCTTTAGTAATCATTGAACAATTGTCTAATTTCAGTGTCGTGTCTATCCCAAACAGAGACGACAAGGGTATCCTGCCATCAAATATGAAGAAAAAGAAGATAAAGCTGATAATAGAAGAGCAGACGAATCTTCTGGCTACAGACGTAAAGAAGATCTAGGTGACAATTATAGAAGAGATGACAATCAGCAGTCAAACGCCTTCGACATAGTTAAACTTCTATCTCTATTTGCAAGTGGTAATAAAGGAGAAACAAAAGTATCTTTCAATATAAGAGACATACAAAGTGGTTTCAGTAACGCTGGCAGCAAATATCGCGTAGGGAATGTACATAGGGAGGTCAACAGACAGAAACGTGATGCGGAATCTGAATTAAATGATGTAGCAACACTAAGCAATGGCGGTATTGAGACTGGTGCAGTCGAAACTAGAGATACATCAACTGATATAGCTAAAACAGACAACAATGTTAATTCTAAAGAATTACTCGTTCAACCATCAGCAGAAAATGCTCAAGTAATTAATGATAATAAATCAGTAGACGCAAATGTAAGTCATACAGAGGCTGATAATTTTCAAGACTTTAATGCTACTAATATTCATGATTTTGCTGCAAATGATTCAACCTCGGTATCCGTAAACGATAATGAGATAGTCAGTGATGACTTTAACAATGAACAACTTCTTACCAAAGAACCAAATGAAGAAGATAACAACAATTCAATAAATGAAACCTCACAAGTTGATAATTCCAACCATTCTTTGGAAAGGTCTAATAGTGATTCGTTTAATCAATCTGGAAATGATGTTTCTAGAATTGGCTTGGTTAGAGACGCTGAAGGAATATACAATAATGAAAGTATTAGTATAAACCAATCACAAACCCCTAAAGTCAAAATCCCACTGTCAAGAAAAGACTTGAGTAATATACAAAGTACTTTAACTGATGAATTTGGTGTTCCAAGCAACGGAGCAAGCCCAGTTGCTAATTTTGCGCTAAACCCTTTAAATAATAAGAAACAAGTAATCGTTATAGTTTACAATTGCACTTGTGGTAAAAATAACCCTCACTCTCATGAAAAATCAGTAGACGATGCTGTTTTAATCAATACTGGTAATAATAATAATAATGATGACACCAATAATAATGATGAAGATTTACCTAAAGTAATACTGAATACTAGACGCATGATACCAAGTGATCCAATATCCAGTGCGCAAATTGAGGAAGAACCAACTGAAGAAAATGTTGAAAATACAAATTCAGAAGACAAACCTAATTACGCTCAGCTAGAGAATAACATGTTAAAAGAATGTACCAGCCTTTTGGCGTTACAAACAAAAAATAAAGTTGATGAAGAAACTGACACAAATTCAGAAAATACTACGACTGGTAACCTTTCAAATGAACATTTCGGTGCAATAATATCACCCGAAGGAGATAATGTTGAAAACAACTCATTTTATAGTGAAAATGAATCCAATAACAGCTCAAACAACTCAGATACGTTTGATAATATTACACAAAACAATGATTATAATAATAATGGTTCTTTAACATCAGTCGATAGTGAAAATGACGCAGTAAATATAGAAAATGGAAAGAATAATAATGCTGAAGTAGATCAAGACACAAATACTGATGTGAATCAAGCTATACCAGTAAGTGAAAGTTTAGATGCCGTTAATAATCAAGAAAATGGTTCTGACTTGCCTACAAGTGATGTAATTGAAGATCACAATCAAAGAAGAAGAAGAAGCTTACTACAAGACAATTTAAAGAACAAAACAACTGAAATTTTTAATCATGAAAAACTGTCTGGGGAATTGCTCAATCTACTGAAAGTGGGTGATATGTCTCCAAATAAGTTCATAGGAGAATATTTACAGAAACATGACAATGTTAAAAGTGACCGCAAAAGAAGGAGTATTAGAAGAAAACTAATAAATTATTTCATCAAAAGAAACCTTAGAAGTAAGCGTGAAGCAAATTTGATAGATTTTCTTAATAACTTTGTCACTTTTAACTCTGACAAAGAATACAGACCGACAAAAATATCCAATCCTAAATATTATGAATATTTAAATGACAAACCCAATTTATTAGATTCTAATACTAATTCTGAAAAAACAGATGGTACTGTTGTAAATTTTAAACCTTATGAAGAAATTAAATCTAAAGAATCCAATGAACAGAATAAAAATGAAAATACTTTGGGAAGTTTTTTAGACGAAGTTAAGAATTTGTCGAGTGTTAAACCTGTGCATGTAAATGTATATTTACAATTGTTGTTGAAGAAATAATGAAGCTACTAACAAAGAATATTTAAGTTACCCATTAAAATGTTGCTTTATATTTTTCAATAAATCTTTTTTTAACAAAATAATTTTGTTTTTATAGTAAGGCTAGGTGTGCAACTGTGCAACCTACCTTATTTTTACTCTAACAAACGTCAAAAGTCTATTAAACTCCATACAAAAGACTTCGTTTATGGTTAAAGTGTATTGTCGATAATACTGAATAAAAAATTTTTCTTTCTTTCTTCACGTTAAAATAAGGTAGTGCAAATCAGCCTAAGTGTTCCAAATTGCAATGTGGGTATGCGTATTTTTTCATTTTTCTTACCTACCAGCTTTTGTCTAATAATTACCCCGCCATTATTCGCTGATTTCTACACCAGTCTACAAACTGACGTGGCTCACTCCGGACGTCGCGCATTGGAGTCATCGCCTCTTTCTGGAATCTTCTATCGTAGAAGCCCACCCTGTATAGATCGTTTCATCCACGAAGACGCGCCCCACAATTCTTCCGCTAATGTTTGAGTGTTATCGGTACACGCTAAATCATCCATGAGTGCACACGCACACTACAATAATGCCGCTCGGATTGCTCGGATCAAACTCCTCGCACGCCGCGCTGCCCTCGACCAAAAGTGGTTGGGCGCGTCTTCTTGGATGAAAATATCTATAGGTATTAGGCCTGAACAGTTCAGCCAACGCTGAGAACTGAAATATTGTTGAATGTATGTGAAGTGCGTGTATGTTAACCCCTCTGCCTTGACTGAGTCGAGGCTGGTCCTTCATCATCTTCCATCTTCGAGGGTAGACAAGATATTGGGAGCCGCGATTCACGCTCCTGAAATTACTGGTGCTGGTGGATTGCAGAACGGGTGAGTGCGCTGTTTTTTTTTTGGTACTTAAATAAATTTCTAAGTAGCTACTCAATGTCGTCAACAATAGGGTGTAATTTAGCTTATGCGCGCGCTTGTTTTGTTTTCGCTGCCTACTCGAGGAGATGAATCGAACCTGGTAGGAAGCAGCAATCTTCCCTTTGTTTACCTCTTTTCTGAATCATCAATTACCAACCTATGCATCCGCTGTGTCCTCGGATTTATCACTCGTAGGTACATTATGATCTACTCAACTGTATTTGGCTAAAATACTCCATCCAAGTGATTTGAAAGACTACATAGGATAAGAACAATTCCATTGTAATGTATGTAAAATTGTATTAAGGTAGGTAAAGGAAAATATAAAACAGATGTTTTTTTCATAATGCGCATTATATTTCTGGTTTTTAATAAAAACACTTAAAAATAACTAACAAATATTTACATCACAACCAAAATCGTGACTTTTATAACACAAAAAATGGCGGGATTTTTGTCAGTCTATATAAACTTTAGAAATAACTATAAAGAGTAGAAGTTTTATTTACATAAAATAAGAAAATCGATCTATTTCATTTTAATATTTATAGTGAAAATTCAAGAAAATATAAAAAGAAATTACTAAAGTTGTGAACAACCTTGTGAACAGTTGTTCTAAAATAAAATGTAGGAATAAAAAAATAATACATAGCTATAAGTGCGAACTAAGGTTCGCAAAATAATTTGAATTTGTACAATAAAATTGACTAAAAATAAAAATTGTTGAGGCACTTAGTAAAAAAATGCAACTCAATTATTTATTTCTATTTTTTGGGCAGTCTTCTATCTTCAAAATATCCTTTTAGGTCCTCGATGCTGTGCAACCGGTTTCAGAAATCAGCACGCATTGCTGTAAAGAAATTAATATAACATATTAGTACTACCTAATTATTTAGCATAATATTCAAGTAATCAACAAGTAATAATAATAAATATCTTTCGACAATTTCACACAGCGCTATCTAGCCCCAAAGTAAGCAATTAATATGCTTGTGTTATGGGTGCTAGCTTAACGGATATACTACATATATACTTTTTAAATACATACATATTATACATAGTAACACCCAGACCCATCACAGAAATTAAAATTCATCATTTCAATTTCTGCCCGGCCGGAAATCGAACCCGGGACCTCTCGGCATAGTAAATATTAAGTAAGGCTAATTTGCATCATCATCATCAGATTAATGATACTGAGCTAAAGCAGCACGACCCTTTCTAACATCATCATCATCATATCAGCCACAGGACGTCCACTGCTGAACATGGGCCTCCCTCAATTATTTCCAGATTGACCGGTTGGTAGCGGCCTGCATCCAGCGCCTTCCTGCTACCATTATACTAGAGGAAAGTCTCACGTTAGCCAGACTCTAGTTAGTGCTATTTTTTTACATTGTGAGACAGCGTCGCGTCGTTCCATTAGTTTAAATAATAATAATAAGCAATGTATTAATTAAGCTATCTTATGATATGACATACTCTATGGTTAGAGAATGGTTCTGGATCATATTGAATCATGGATGATTCTAACACCCGTATTCACAAACGATGCTTGCTTAAGTGAAGCAGCGAATAGAGCTTTGTGATTGTCTGGTGATCTGTCACCCTGTGCGTCTACGCGCAAAATGAGATCTCAAGTAATGTTTGTGAATACGGGCGTAAGTAAATAATAATGCTTTTAACCGGCAGCTTTCTAAAAGAAATCAATTTATCTGTTGCTTTTTTTAATTAACTTACCCCAGTATTTGGATCGAATTCCAATCCCAAAGAACAGAACAGCTGAATTGGCTTATCTCCAGTGCACATGTCGAATGCATCACATCTGTCAGGGTTTGGTAGGATTCCAATAAATCCTGGGGGACATGGCTCTATGCTCGTTGTTCCTTCAGGTAGATCTGGGTCGACAACTCGACCATTAGTGGAATCCTCGCTAACTGGGCTAGCTGTGCTCTGAGCAACTGTGCTTTGGTCAACTGCGCTGTCATCGACTGCTGTCGTTTGAATTGGGCCTAAAGTGCAGCCCCCTTCAGCGATCTTTATACATCTCTGCAAAAAATGGCATGGTTTTACAAACTTGGAATTAGGTATTAATCTTCTATTTCTATGACTTATAAAATAGGGTTGTGGTGAATTCAAATGTGTTCAATTTTTTTGATTTTGATTTTTTATAATAATAACACATTGTATTTTATCTAAAGCCCGGTCTGTGAGCACGTCGAATTTTGTCCAATGACCCCAAGCTACCCATCCTTATCGCTAGCGCGTAATTATATTGCTGTCGCGACTGTGCGACGGGCACTGTGGGCCCGGCAGAGGTCAAAAGTAAAAAAAATCAGCTGTCTATTAATCTTTTTTTATTTACGCAGATAGGTAGTTAAAAACCTCTAGTTTTAGAAAATATTATAGTACCAACATGTTTCTTAACAAATTGGTATACTTTTACGAGTCAGAAGTCATTGCTTGCAAGCCTAAGGACGGTTGCTATCAGCGCGTCCTAAGTTTATTGCTTTGTTTACATAAAGTTTTGTTTATAAATTGTATTTAAAACTGGTGAATTTAACAATAGAAATCCTGGAAAAAGGTAATGTGTAACTTGTTGTCAAAATTTTAAAGTTATATGGCTGGTATTAACATGTCAAATATGATGAAAATAATTGATAATTTATTGAATATTTTTAGACTTTTAGTTTAGTTCCCCGTCGTGCCCCGTAACAATTTATACGTCATTTGTTAGCTGACAATACGCTTTATTATATTTTGTATGCAATTTCACCCAAGAGTACCAAAGGTCTTGACAGTAGGGGTCCAAAGTTGCATTATTAACTTAGTTTTGAAATTCAAAACAATTGATTTTTCTGTTCTATGCTAAGAAATTCATTGCTCGTTTTCAAGATTGTTTGTATTTGAGCAATGGAATGTTAAAAAAGTCACGAATGCTGAAAAGTCTCGTCTTGTGTACCAACATCTAAAGTTATCATTAGTTAGTGATGAGAAAAATGTTGACATGCAGAATTTAGAAAATAAGAGTAATTACCTGTGCAAAAAAAAATGTGAGTATTTTAAAAAGGCATCTCAGTCTACAAAAGTTTTCAAAAATAGACAATCTTACTGGTTAAGCGATCCTTATATCACTGGTTTGCGAAATTTGCCTAAAAAAAGGAAGTCTTCTTTACCCAAAGAGTGTATTACTTTAATTTCAGTAGTATAATATAATATTATACAATGTTTTACAAAGTATTTTATTTTATAAAGAAGTTTTCCACTTTTGACCGCTGTTACATAGACGCGGGACCACCGTGGGGCGCCCGCAGTGAGTGTGCGAGCGCGACAGCAACATAATTACGTGCGAGCGATAAGGATGGGTAGCTTGGGGTCATTCGACAAAATTCTACGTGCTCACAGACCAGACTATACTATTTATAGACCATAGAAATCATAATAATTACTTACCATCTCCACAATATCGTACTCCTGGCCATCAGAACACGTCAGTAGAATGGGCTGAGGCAGTCCAGTGCACATGTAATATGCGTCACACTTAGTGGGGTGCGGTATTTGGATAAATTCACCCAATGGACAAACGAATTCTTCAGTTGTTGTCTCTACTGGAATCTGAACTTCTGTTGTTAACTCTGGAATTTCTGTTTCATCTGGAAGAGCTGTGGTTTCTTCTGGTAGTTCCGTGATTTCTTCTGATGGTAGCCCTGTAGTTTCTTCTGGCAGCCCTGTAGTTTCTGATGACAGCCCTGTAGTTTCTGTTGGCAGAACTATATTTTCTGGCAGCCTTGTGGTTACTTCTGGCTCTTCTGTTGCTTGGACTGTCGTTTCTAAAGACTCTAAAGTGGTCTGAACAAGCTCAACTGTTGTCCGAATAGGCTCAACTGTTTCTGCGGTCATTATAGTATCGTTTTCTGTTTGTGAGTCAGTGATTGTTGATGATTGGTCAGTGTATTGAGCTGTCGTCGATTCGGATCCCATGGTGCAACCACCGGGAGCTATTGGGATGCAGCCCTGTAAAAAATAAACTATTACTAAGATAGTTTACGAAAATGTATACTTTTTCTTGAGTAGGACAAACTTGACCTTCATTGGTTGGGTTTTTGTGGCGGTCAAGCTTTAGATCCTGGCTACACAGGAGTTGCAGTGGTGGGAACGAAAGGTGGGAATAATCCCGTTTTTCGATAGTATTTGATCTGTATTATAAATTAAAAGGCTTTAAGGACGTAGCACACTTAATCAAACCGAAAAGGGATCGTAACCGTATCAACTCGAGGCGGTCAGTATTCTATGTATGAAACTCCTTATTGCAAGCGCACACTAATTATCCGCACCGTAATGTAAACGCCTCGCCTCGCGATTGACAGCTCATAAGGCGATGACAGCTCGTAAAAGATGATACGGTGTTGATCCCTTTCCGAGTTGATAATGTCTGCTATGACCTTAACTCATTGCGTACTTGGCTATAATATTAAAATCGACAAAAGTGAAAAATCCTTGATTTTTTACCTTAATGCAACGAAATAAAGTTCAAAATACGCTGAGAAAACATATCTTAACAGACTTAAATCATTAACTTACCGAAGTAACGGGATCAAATTCATTTCCAGGCAAGCAATTCAGGAATATCGGATCTCCCATGACGCATAATACGAACGCGTCACACTTGACCGGATCTGGCAGGTTTCCAATAAAGAATGGAGGGCAATCGAATTTGGTGGTCGTTTCCACTGGAATTGTAGTTGTTTCTATAGCTTCTGTAGTAATTTCTGAAATTGTCGTTTCTGATGCAGTAGTTTTTTGATCCTCGGTAGCTTCGGTAGATTCTTTTTCTGTAGTCACATCGGGAGTTTGTTCTGTTGCTGTAATAAGTTCACTTGAAATCGTCGTTTCTGATCTAGTAGTTTTTTGACTGTCATCAATGGTAGCTTCAGAAGATTTATCTGTAGTTACCTCTGTAACTTTTTCTGTAGTTACTTCTATGGCTGGTTCTGTTTCTCTAGTAAACTCTTCTAAAATCGTAGTTTCTGATGCAGTAGTCTTTGAACTATCGTCTACAGTAACTTCTGTAGCTTTTTCTGTAGTAACCTCTGCAATAGTAGTTTCTGATGGTGTAGTTTCTTGATTGTCGGTTACTATTGTAGTTGTTACTGAAGGAGTAGTCTCAGTGAATGTTTCTTTTTCTGTAGTAGTTGTAGTATGTTCTTCGATCTTAATTGTAGTTGTAAATGGGAAAGTACAACCGCCTGGTGCTATTTCAACACATCTCTGAAACAAAAATCATTGTTTTTATTGCCAAACGCTATAAAGATTTAAATAAATATGCAAAAACTCTAAAGCCCGTATTCACAAACCTTACTGAGGTCCCACAGTGCGCGTGGACTCACAGGGTAACACACGAACCAATCACAGAGCTCTATTCAACGCTGTGCGTTCGATTTGCTGCTTCACTTGCAAGCATCGTTTATGAATACGGGCGTAAACAACATACAGATAAATATTTTCATTTATTTAGTCTTTAATGTCACTTTCAGAGAATGCCACGATAAGAGATTCTTTGCCAGTAAACCTTAAGTATAAGTAATACCACAGAATAATAAGTACTACGTACAGAAGTTTTACTTCGCGAAGGTATTTAAAAAAATGTATGCTCAATGTCATTAACAATATGGTGTAATTTAGCCTGTCTCAATAGTCAAGCACCATTTTGTTGACAAACGTCAGTGATCGGCACTGCGCCGAAGCTATAGGGCTGACTTCGGTAAAATGATGTGACGTGAGGTGCCAAACTGCGGAAAATGGCGGAGGAAATACATGATTTAGCATGAATTATCATGAATAATATTAACTACTTATTTACCGCTCAGCGTCTTGAGGCAACTTAAAAAAGTACATTCTGTGTTTTTATTATTATTTAGTTAGGCAGTTAAATACTGCACAGTATTTAGTACACCATTTTCTTTATTTTCTTCCATCATACACAAGAATACGCGTGCGTGAGTCAATGTTCGCTCGTATGTGAAGCCTTGTCAAATAGTATCCTGTAGGTGGGCCATCGTGCGTGTTTTGTTTTCGATGTAAACTCGCGGAGATGAACAGGCCTGGTAATACTAAATGTTAACTGGCAAAAATAATAGTAGAAAATAAAGACTTCACTGTTTGTAATATTCTTTGATTTTTCCCCGGGACTCAAACCTTAACCATAATTTATCTTAACCAAATATCATCTAAATCGGTTCAGTAATTTCAGTGTCAAAAAAGTACCACATTTTCCATACATCCATGCATACTCACAAACTTTCAAAATATCTCCTATAAAAACAAAGTTGGGTTTGTTCGAGCAATTTGTAGAACGGCTGTAGGTACTGATTTTCATAGCTTTTATTCGTTGTTTGTTTCCGTCCCGAATAGCAGAAAAAGCATTAAAAACATTGGAAAATTGACGAAAAAGAAAATAAAATAAAAATTATTTTCCCATGCAAAATATTCATTGGTTTCGTAATAATTTGCTAATCTACCTACGCGAAGCTGTGGTAAAAAACTAGCTTATAATATTTGTAGGATTAAAATAATGTCGTTTTTTTTTTTCAAGAAAATCATCGTCGCTGAAATAAGTAATCTTGTATAGCATAGGTGCGATTGGTGAATATAGATAGGTAGTAGGTAGTACGCCAAATTGCATAGATTAACAAAACATGTCGGCCGTTTGGTGTAGTGGTTCAGAACGGACTACTATGCCGAGAGGTCCCGGGTTCGATTCCCGGCCGGGCAGAAATTGAAATGATGAATTTTAATTTCTGTGACGGGTCTGGGTGTTTTCTATGTATAATATGTATGTATTTACAAAAAAAAAGTATTTAAGTACGTTTATATCCGTTTTCTAGTACCCATAGTACAAGCTTTGCTTAGTTTGGGACTAGCGGCGCAGTGTAAAATGTCCAAGGATATTTATTTATTTATGACTTATTCCTGTACAAATAAGGGCGTAAGTCGCTTCACCATGAATACAGGCTGTACTAACATGGTATACTGTAACCATACAGACCAACGTTGTAGTAAGAAAGTATACTGTATCCACAATACATCGCCTTAGTGCCATGTAAATGAGGTCCAAATTGTGGCAGTTCTGCTTTGGGGTGAGTTGCGATCTACCCCCATCCCCCGTTTCTAGTACAGTGGAAATCAAAAGTTTCAGAAATAGTAAGATTGTTTTCAATAGCTTACGGTGAAGCTGAATACTAAACATTGCTTGCTTTGATTTTAGCTTCACCTTCACAAAAAAGGTAAAAAGTGTGCATTAAAATGCAATTACTGCACTTGAACTGATCTGCGACAGATATATGACCAAATCATAAGAATATGTAGTGGTAATAGGTGTAACCTGTCTTTAAGATATTGTTGAGCATAAAGGAAAAGAAACAAGGAGAAGAATAGGTTCTGGAAGGACCTGACAGTCACCATTTTCATTGCCGTAAGAAAGATTAGAGAACAAGACTGACGTTTTAGTGGTTTCATTAGAAGAAGACAATATACTATCTTCTCTGAACTGGAGATTGGAAAAATTAGGCGTTCCATCAATTTTTGAGCTCAACTATACATCAGCACGCCCCGTAGTGTGTCCTAGTCTAGCCTATAGCCTGAAAGATGAGTCCTGCTCTGAAAATCGATACTCTTCTGTTGTGACGTGCCTCAGCAACTAAGAAAAACGGTCATCTCTCTCCCACCCGTCAGTTCTACCATTAACGACAGCGAAAAAATTGAACCTTCCATAAAATCTTTATTTTTGGCGCAATCATTACGAAAAAAATCACACAAACAGATTTAATTATCCTGCAGATTTCCTCCAAATTTCGTTTCAGAATATTAGATAGTTTTTGAGAAATAAATTCTTGAAAATGCATTCCTGGATCGCGGTGACGGAATATCCGTTCTCGCTGAGTATATAAGGAAAATGGTTTGTTCTATTTTCTGGGAGGTCCGTAGCTACGACGTGAGCCGGAGCTGGCAGGGATCCGGTCTAGGTCCCTGCTACCAGTTGGCCTCGTGCCTCATCATCTATGGTCACATGTAAACATAAGTCCGAAATGATAAAGAGAGGTTAAACGCCTCAACCCAACGTCTGTAGCTAATTTGACCTCCTTTTTAACTTTCAAATCAACTCTAATGTTTCTTCTTTCACGATCCCTCACTGATGAGGATCGCGACCACATACACGCCCGTATTCACAAACATTACTATGAGGTCTCACAGTGCGCGTGGACGCACAGGGTGATACACGAACCAATCACAGAGCTCTATTCAATGCTGTGCGTTCGATTTGCTGCTTCACAAGCAAGCATCGTTTGTGAATACGGGCGATAGTTTTCCTTCACAGACTGCGGTCATATGCTGTGTGGACCGCACGATACTTCCATTATACTGTTTAGTATTTTCAAAAAAAACTCCCCAAAAGTAAGAGGTCTGCTCAATAGACCGATGACCTCAAGAGAATACCTGGAAGGATGAAAAATCTAGGTGGACCAATTCGACTAATATAATATTTGATATTAGTCGAATTGGTCCATCTAAGTTTTCGGTTTGTGACAAAAGTAAAGCAAACATTACGTCCAAAGTGCTTGTGTTTTAAACAACTTGTCCCAGGCTCAATCAAACCCGTAGCCTCGAAGGCAAATTTACCTATATATACTATTTTTATAGACAAATCACCAGAGTAGATTTGGAAAAGCCTCGCAAAAAAATGGCTCTTGCCAATCTTATAAAAATCATTTATATTTGTTTATTAATATGCTTGAATTTGATTCGAGTTTTGATCGACCTTCTTTTGTTACTTCAAACAGATTTGGCAATTTCACCCTGTAAATGAAATGACAGACGAGCGTTTTTTACTCGCGTTTTGGCATTCCTACTCGATAGCTCGATGCTACGAAATCGCGAGAATACGAGCAAATTGTAAAAAAAGACTTATCAATACAAAAGGGGGTGATTCTGGTGCTTACATACTTAAAAAAACTTTTTCTAGGAAGACTATTCTACCTTATTATTATTTGGCCAGTTAGTGAAATTAATTAGTTTTATCACTTTTACCAATGAGTCAGGCAGATGTATAAAATCTAATTTAATACGAGACAAAAACGCGCGTACAAATAAAAGTTTTAGAAACGCTCGTCTGTCACTAGTACCCTTACCGGTGAGTGGGGTGAGTGATGGAAAAGTACAGTCAGTCTCAAAAGTTACAAAACATTTCCCAAATACTTTTTCCTTGGTTAAGAGTTATACACTAGTTTAAAATGTCATTCCCATACCTACTAAACATCACCTTAAACTATGAATTCGCGCTTCTCAGTGATATTTATGACGTGACAAAGCCTACAAATCTGAAGCACAACTGAAGTTTTGCTGACGTTTGACGTAAAAAAAACACCCTCCCGTGCTGCTTCCATACCTTAGGCTGACTGAGTTAAGCGTAACTTTAACTTTTATTAATAAGGGGATTAAATACATATAACAGTCAACCTACTAAGCAAATATATCTTTATTTGCTTAGTAAGTTCTATTCTATCTATTCTATTCTATTCCAAACTGAGCATATTAATGACTTTAATCTTTTGATTTCTTAAAATTACTTTTTAATTTCAACATTTTCTTTTGTTTTTCTTGAAAGTGCTGGGTGTTTTATTTATAATATTCAATACTTTACATCAAACATAGTAATTTTTAACATTTCAGGTCACTTGTAAAGCTTTAATTTGCGACAGACATTCCACAAAATCGAATTAAGTCGCAAAATTTTCTTCCCGACTCTACTTTAGCGCGCCCCTTCTTATATCCTGCTTCATCCCATACTCTCAAAAGGAAAGTCCTGCTCTGAAAATCAATATTCTCTTTATTTTACATGCTCTGTAACTGAGAAAACCCGGTCATCTCTTTCAAACGTATGGCTCTACCATTAACGACATTGTAAATACGAAAATATGTCATAAAATCTTTGTTTTTCAAACTATAAATACCAAAAATATTTAGACGATAGATTTTGGTACTTTACACGTTTGTTTAAAATTTCGTTGCAAAATATGGTACGGTTGCTGAGAAATAAATTCCTGAAAATCCATTCCTGAATCGCGGTGACGAAATATCCTCTCACGTTGAGTATATAAAGAAAATCTTTTGTAGTTTTATCGGGGAGGTCCGTAGCTACGCCGTAAGCCGGAGTTTGCGGGGATCCGGTCTAAGTCCCCGTTAGTTGATGGTGTTTGCCATCGTCAATGTCGCATATGCATAAGAAAGGAGACGAAGGATCGCAGATCTCGCCAAGATCTCGCCCCATCGTGTGTAGCTAATTTGACCTTCCTTTTGTCTTTCTGAACAACCTTTTTCATTGTGGCTTCGTGTGGTTTGTTTTTTTGGCTAATTACAGACTCAAAAAGAAAAATGGTCGGTTAAAAAATCTTTGTATCTTCAAAAGTACTTACCCTTATAGTGCTTTATAGACAGGAAAAACAACGCATTTTTATTGCTTTCGCATTAAAAATAGAAAACTTTAATTAATTTAGTATACAATTTCATAAACCTATGTTTTATTTTTTTGGAAACAATATAATTTAACTTCTGAAGATGTTGAAGATTTTTAGCCGATCCTTTTTCTTTGCGGTCTGTATTGTACTGATGTTTCAATAATTACAAGTCAATATAAAAATAAGACCAATAATATCCACTTTCAGTTACAACGTGGCAAAAAAAAATCAAACTATGGGTTTACCTATGCAATATTTATTTATATATTTTATTTATTTCCACACACATTTACACTATCTTTACAGGTACTTAAAACTTAATATCTTCGTAGCTCACCGGTCAGAGCAGTCGCCTGGCAAGCGAAAAGTCGCGGGTTCAATTACAACTTGAAGCAATCGATTTTATCAAGACACAGCGGACTATCCATTTTAGAGACAATAAAAACATTGCCTTCTTTTTTAAATAGTCGGGTAAAAAATAACTTATATGTAGGTAGCTAGTGTGTGTCCTACTTCCATACCAATTTCATCAAAATCTGTCCAGCCATTCTCGAGTTATAAGTGTTCGAACAAACCCAACTTTGTTTCATCAAGAAAATTTGAATATTAAAGTAATGGTTTTATTTAATACTGGGACTTTTACAAATGCTTTTTAAAAGCGTACTTGCATAAAAATAAATGAGTTAAATGAGTTTTTTATGAGTAAAAAGTAAAATAAAATATCAACAAGTACCTATAAATAAAATATCAACTTACCCCCAATGCCGGGTCAAATTCGAATCCATCGCGGCAAGTCAACATTGTAGGCAGTCCGCCTCCGCACATATAAAACACGTTACACAAATACGGGTGAGGGAAGTTCCCGAAAGTGCCTGGTGGACAGACGAACTCCTCCGGGGCTTCTGTTGTCACAGCTGTGGTTGTTGAAACTTGTTCAGTAACGGTCGTTGGTATGGTGACTTCGTTTGCGTTTCCACTGTCAGCAGTCGTTGTTGATTCGTTTTCTCCATAAGCAACTGTCGTTGAATAGCTTTCACTATCAGTAATCGTTGTAGAATCGTTTCCACCGTCAGCAATGGTGGTTGAATCATTTTCACTATCATCTACGGTGGTTGATTCGGTTCCGCTGTCATCAACAGTCGTTGGATAGTTTTCACTGTCAGCAACTGTCGTTGGATAGTTTTCACTGTCAGCAGAGGTGGTAGAATAATTTCCACTGTCAGCAGAGGTGGTTGATTCGTTTTCACCATCAGCAATCGTTGTTACATCGTCAGGATTTCCGGTAGTCGTTGGTGCTGAAATTTAATAAAAAATTAATGAAAATTAAGATAATTAGGCTTTCATTGGGTAGTCCCAAGTCAATTTAAATTCCTTTTTTATACCGAAGTTCCGACTATAAGAGTCGGTTACATTTATTTCCAATTCAATTAAAATTTTAATCACATTTCGTCGTTAATTAACGGTTCGTTAATTATTCCCACCTCTCGTTCCCACCGCTGCAACTCCTGTGTAGCCAGGATCTACAGCTTGACCGCGAATAAAAACCCAACCAGTGAAGGTCAAGTTTGTCCCGGGGGAAAGTTAAACTGTCATTGAACCCACCACGAAATTAATCAGAAGAACATAGGAGGAGTTCGAATATGAAAAGATTTTCACCACGGACAAAATACGAGTACATCAAATATGTGGACCTATCTTATGAGCTATTAATTAGCATTCGTCGTTAATTAGGTAGAGTAATTATTAAATGTATTTTTTATCAGATCATCTGCATAACAAATTGGATAAACTGCATTGGTGACTATCATGACAGATCTACGATTTGGAATGTAATTATTGATGACGTTTTTTTATTAGTGAATGCGTAATTTTCAAAAAACTTTGCGAAAAACTTTATCGCGCGCGTCCCTGTTTCAAAAACCGGGATAAAAACTATCCTATGTCCTTTCCTGGGACTCAAACTATCTCTATGCCAAATTTTATCAAAATCGGTTCAGTGGTTTTGGCGTGAAAGAGAGACAGGCAGACAGACAGACAGAGTTACTTTCGCATTTATAATATTATAGTATAGAAGAAGTATAGATATATAGATTTAACAACCAAAGTATTCCTATAACTGGTTGATTCATATCGAGACATTATGTGCGTCACAGTTACGTGTTTTTTTCCTACTAAGGTTGAGTTGCACCAAAAACCTTACTTTAACCCTTTTAACTAAACGTGATCCAAGCGTACGAAGTCACGGGCGGCCGCTAGTCATTCATAAACTATTAAAATCCTCCAGAACTTACCCTCTGTAACTCCTATTGTAGTTGTAGCAATGTCTTTTTCAGTCGTTGTGATGGCGTCAGTCGCTTTTGTAGTTGAAGTGGGTTCATTTACTTCTTCTGTCGTTGCAGAAGAATCGTTTTCTTCTATTGTAGTTGTAGGGGCATCAGTAGCCACTTCTGTGGTCAACGGGGCATCAGTTGATGGACTATCAGTGACTCGATCTGTCGTTGAAGGAGCTAGAGTTTCTACGTCTGTAGTTGTAGGGGCATCAGTAGCCGCTTCTGTGGTCAATGGGGCATCAGTTAATGGACTATCTGTAGGGGCATCAGAAGCCGCTTCTGTGGTTAACGGGGCATCAGTTGATGGACTATCTGTAGGGGCATCAGTAGCCGCCTCTGTGGTCAACGGGGCATCAGTTGTTGAACTATCTGTAGGGGCATCAGAAGCCGCTTCTGTGGTTAACGGGGCATCAGTTGATGGACTAACTGTAGGGGCATCAGAAGCCGCTTCTGTGGTCAACGGGGCATCAGTTGATGGACTATCTGTAGGGGCATCAGAAGCCGCTTCTGTGGTCAACGGGGCATCAGTTGATGGACTATCTGTAGGGGCATCAGAAGCCGCTTCTGTGGTCAACGGGGCATCAGTTGGTGGACTATCTGTAGGGGCATCAGTAGCCGCTTCTGTGGTAAACGGAGCATCAGTTGATGCACTATCAGTGACTATGGCTGTTATTATAGAGGCATCAGTAACTGCTTCTGTGGTCAACGGGGCATCAGTTGCTGGACTATCTGTAGGGGCATCAGTAGCCGCTACTGTGGTCAACGGGGCATCAGTAGCCGCTTCTGTGGTCAACGGGGCATCAGTTGTTGGACTATCTGTAGGGGCATCAGTAGCCGCTTCTGTGGTCAACGGGGCATCAGTTGATGGACTATCTGTAGGGGCATCAGAAGCCGCTTCTGTGGTCAACGGGGCATCAGTTGATGGATTATCTGTAGGGGCATCAGAAGCCGCTTTTGTGGTCAACGGGGCATCAGTAATTGCTGCGTCTGTAGTCAACGGGGCATTAGTTGATGCACTATTTGTAGGGGCATCAGAAGCTGCTTCTGTGGTCAACGGGGCATCAGTTGATGGACTATCTGTAGGGGCATCAGAAGCCGCTTCTGTGGTCAACGGGGCATCAATTGCTGCTTCTGTGGTCAACGGGGCATCAGTTGATGGACTATCAGTGACTATGTCTGTAGTTATAGGGGGGTCAGTCACCCATACTGTGGTTGTAGAAGCGTCCGTCACTCGTTCTGTGGTTGTAGGAGCATCCGTCACTCGTTCTGTGGTTGTAGGAGCATCCGTCTCTCTTTCTGTAGTTGTAGGAGCATCGGTCACTTGTTCTGTCGTTGTAGGAGCTCCAGTTTCAACTTCTGTCGTTATTGTAGGAACATCAGTGACTTTTTCTGTAGTTATTGGGGCATCAGTAGCAGCTTCTGTAGTTGTAGGTGACTCAGTTTCTTCTTCTGTAGTTGTAGGAACATCAGTGACCTTTTCTGTGGTTGTAGGAACATCAGTGACCTTTTCTGTCGTTGTAGGAGCTCCAGTTTCAACTTCTGTCGTTATTGTAGGAACATCAGTGACCTTTTCTGTGGTTGTAGAAGCATCCGTCACTCGTTCTGTGGTTGTAGGAGCATCCGTCACTAGTTCTGTGGTTGTAGGAGCGTCCTTCACTGGTTCTGTGGTTGTAGGAGCATCTGTCACTCTTTCTGTAGTTGTAGAAGCATCCGTCACTAGTTCTGTGGTTGTAGGAGCATCCGTCACTGGTTCTGTCGTTGTAGGAGCATCCGTCACTCGTTCTGTGGTTGTAGGAGCATCCGTCACTGGTTCTGTGGTTGTAGGAGCATCCGTCACTAGTTCTGTGGTTGTAGGAGCATCCGTCACTGGTTCTGTGGTTGTAGGAGCATCCGTCACTAGTTCTGTGGTTGTAGGAGCATCCGTCACTGGTTCTGTCGTTGTAGGAGCATCCGTCACTCATTGGATTACACAAAAATGAGTTTGCCGCACCAGGTGTTTTGAATGTCACTGCCAATCGATTTCGCCCTATTCGTTTAATGCCATCATCCAAAATATTTTTTAAATTATTTCTGAATAGAAAATTCCCAAATTTGATGGGGTGAAGAGTGGAGCCAGAGTTGGGAGTTTCTTTTTGTTGGACATGTACCAGAAAAGGACCTGCATCCTGATCCTGGTAATTGTTTCTGCCTATTATATGGTTATTCTGTTGAGAATGTTGGATCACCGGGGCTGGAGGAGCTTGCGTTAAAATTTCTTGAAAAGCAGTGGTAATGTGCATTTTAGGAGAGGATTTGGTCTTTAATAAATGTTTGTTAATTTTTTTCTGAGTTTTTCTATTTGTTACTAGTTTAAATGACTCAAATTCTTTTACATGTTGGTTAGATATGAAATTATCAGCCTCTATTAAGGTCAATAAAGGATTGGACTGAGATTGTGGAGTGGCTGGGGGAGGATCAGGGTCAGGAGCTGGTTCCGTCTCCATAGTTTATAAATATGCAAATGGACTTACCCCTATATAATATATACACTAATCACACTAAATTACTAATTTACAACAATTTTTTTACAAAATATACACAAACTAACAATAAAATACGAATTAAATAAAAACAGATAGACCGCCCTTTTCAACTTCCCGCCAAAAAAAAACCAATTAAATAATTCGGTGACTGAAGAAAAAATGTAATAGAAAAAATAAAAAATAAAAAAGTAGAATTTGTCACTGGCACGATGAGCGACGTAAAAAATTATATAAAAAAACTAAACTAAAATGCGCTTCTATTTCACGTTTGTTTTTTGTTTCCTAGGCAATTAGGACAAAACTTTTGGCCAGCTTTCATAAAATGTTTCAAACTCGTTTCCAGTCTAGGTCGTTCGACACTTTCGTAATATTGACGGCTAGTTTAATAGTGATTCATCTCAGACTTGCTGGTTACGAAATCATTGGATATTTTTGTTTCTTTTTCGGAGAAAATAAATACCTCAACGTCTACGTTTCTAATAATTTAAAACAAAAAAATACTGAAGTTCAAACAAACAAAACTAATTAATAAGTTAACATGAAAACACAGTAATAACCTGTGTTAATGTAAAATGGCTTTATAACATTACCATTCTTTAAAGTTACTTAAATTCTAAATTCTTCGTAATAAAAACAATGTTACCGCATTTTTGGTGAAGAAGATAAATGACAAAAGCGATTGTCTGCCGTGTGAAATGCGGACTCAGGCACTTTTTGCTCTCCGCTAAAGTTTCACTTTGATATCTTGTCCAAGTCGCGATTAGGGTTACCGACTTTTAACGTCCTTTTTTAGCAGCCCAGAATCCAGTGTGCTTACCATGAGTTTACGTTAGGTGTGCTCGCTAGCGACTGCGTAAAAATTGAATTGTATGACATATTGTGCAGCGCCCCAAGTAGCCGCTAGCTACTTTCAAGCAATAAAATCTTCATAGATTTTTTGACGTACTCGCTAGCAAGCACACACCTAACGTAAACTCATTAAAACCTGTTTAGTATTTAGGCAAAATGGCAACGTGCGCCTGAAGTGGAAGCACAGAAACTTTATTTTTCCACTGTAGTTGGGATACCAAAAAAGTTTAACAAAATCTAATAGAAATTAAATATTATGCCTGTGTTGTCTAAATGGGTTCACCACAACAGTCCAGTGTTCGACGGGGATAGACTACTATAACCTACAGTCTTTTTATTGGACAACGGGTATTATCACCATCATCATCATTTCAGCCATAGGACGTCGACTGCTGAACATAGGCTTGATTTCCCAATGATTTCCACAATAGCCGGTTGGTAGCGGCCTGCATCCAGCGCCTTCCTGCTACTTTTATGAGGTCGTCGATCCACCTCATGGGTGGACGTTCTACGCTGCGCTTTCCGGTACGTGGCCTCCACTCCAGAACCTTGCTGTTGCTGACCCATAGGCCGTCAGTTCTGCGTACTATGTGTCCTGCTCATTGCCACTTCAGCGAAAATTTTCGTTCGTTCGTTCGTTCGTTTCAGCCGAAAGACGTCCACTGCTGGACAAAGGCCTCCCCCAAGGATTTCCACAAAGACCGGTCCTACGCCGCTCGCATCCAGGCACCTTCCAGGTTGGGGAATATTTTCACCTCAACTGAATGGCATGATAGTGATTTTGATTTCAAATAATACTGTGTTTTGAAATAAACCTATCTTATGCAGTGGATCAATAAGGCACTAAAGTAGCTTTATTTATAAGCTCGTTATAAATAATACCGAGCAACATGGGACCGCTTTCAGTGCTAAAGGAATTTACGTCGGCGATACGTGCGTGGATACAATTTATTGGTTTTTCGCCTTGTTATCCCCACGACAAGTCACATTGTGCTAGCTGTTGATTTGTCGTATTGTTTAGGAATAGCGAAAAAGTACGGTTGAAATTGTATTGATTTAATGTCTAAAAAATAGGACTTTTAGTTAAAAAATAGGAGTTTGAGGTGTATTTTATGCCTGGTGGATAAAAAAAATTAGGCCACCCCTAATAGGCGTTTGACCCATTTGAGTTAAAATAAGACGTACCAAATTAAAAGTCACAAAAATAGGGGTGACCTAATTTTTTTTGTCTATCATCCTTAACGTTCTGTATTCACAAACATTACTATGAGGTCTCACAGTGCGCGTGGACGCACAGGGTGACACACGAACCAATCACAGAGCTCTATTCAAGGCTGTGCGCAAGTGCTGTGCGTTCGATTTGCTGCTTTACATAAACAAGCAGGGATTGCATCGTTTGTGAATACGGGCGTAAATGTATGACAGATTGTACAGTGCCCCTAGCTACTACTTTAAAGAACTAAAATCTTCATAGATTTTTTTACGTACTCGCTGGCGAGTATGCCTAACGTAAACTCATGGCAAGCACACTGATATTTAATATTAAATCAAGTAACACAGAGTAAGTACTATAATAATACAGATTAGGCAAGCCAACGGATTAGGGGAGTTCCGTGCGGATCTTCATGACTATTAGGGATAATATACTTCAGCTCTGGAAGAAACGAAAGGAAAATGGAAAGAAGCAGACTCATTAATAACGAATCACATGCGCAATTAGCGGGAAGCCTCTTAACGGAGTCCATTAAAAGGGACTTCCTTGTTACTATACAGGGCTATATAAAATATTATCCTCTATACCTATTTAACTAGCAGCCTTTATCACAAACTAACCTGTGGATCCCGTTTTACCCCCTCAGGGGTTGTATTTTTAAAAATCCCGTCTTAGTGAGCACCTACGTTCTAAAATAACCTCCATGCAAAATTTGAGACTCTTAGCACTTGTAGTTTCTGAGATTTCGTGATGAGTGTGTCAGTCAGTGAACTTTCGCTTTTTTATAGGTGTATAGATTGTCCTCTATACCTACCTATTTATCTAGAAGCTTTTCTCACAAATAAAGAAACATTGACAACATTTCTGGGTGTTTTTAACTTTTTAATGCGTGCTGATTTTGGGGTTGCCCCGTAAGTGTCCTTTTCGTACAAGTATTTATTGTAATGCGTGGAATACGCACGCGGGATAATAAATACTAGTATGAAAAGGACACTTTCGGGTGTCACGCATGTGGGGCAATCCGGACCATATTAAAAACACCCTTAGGCTGAGTTGCACCACCCAACTTTGACCGTAACTATGACGATAACCGGTGCTTTTTGTATGGAGTTTGACAGATTTTTGACATTTGTTAAAGATGGTGCAACCAACCCAGCCGTAGAGTTTAGGGAGTTTATCAAAACTATCTTATGCAAAGCGAAATATCGTTAAGGATACTGAGATAGTGTGATAAGAAATATTGTGACGTCAAGAATAGACGGTTTGATTTTGTTTTTGTCAACTTTAAACATTCATTGACCGGTTGGTAGCGGCCTGCGTTCTGCGCCTTCCTGCTACCTTTATGATGTCATCGGTCCACCTTGTGGATGGACATCTCACGCTGCGTTTTCCGGGCGGCCTCCACTCCACACACATGGAAATCATTGGGGGAGGAGTATGTTCAGCAGTGGACGTCCTATAGCTGAAATGATAATGATGATGATGATGATGAAACATTCATTAGAGTCATCAGCTACAACCGTACTCAAAGAAATACTCTGTATAAAAAGCTTCAAAAACAAGATTACTACCATACACCTAAGTAGGTAGCTCTCACGGTTACAGAACCATACTTTCAGTTCTACGCTTTTTCCTTTTACCAAGTTTTAATTACAAAGGGTTGTTTATCCAGCCCGCTTGAATAATTTAGTGTAAGATTATGATCTTTTAAAGATGTTCGCGTAATTTTCTATTATCAGTCAAGGCTATCTTATCAGTATTAAATGCTAGCCGTGCCCGCGACTTCGTACGCGTGAAAATAGTTTGAATAACATTTCCCGTTTTTGCAACATTTTTCAAAAACTGTTTTGGTTGTAGGGTGATGTTATTTAGCCTTAAACCTTGAAATATTTTTTCAAATCGGACCAGATTAGTGCGTTCAAGTAAACAAACTCTTCATAGAATAGATTACGAGAGTAGAGTGAAAAAATTTTAACTACGAGAACAGGCCCTATTTGAAAAAATCTTTCACCATTAGAATCTTATATTATTTCTTACTAGCTTTCCGCCCGCGGCTTCGCACGCGGAATTTTGTCTGTCACAGAAAAACCTTATCGCGCGCGTCCCTGTTTTAAAACCGGGATAAAAACAATCCTATGTCCTTTCCCGGGACTCAAACTATCTCTATGCCAAATTCGATCGAAATCGATTACGTGGTTTAGGCGTGAAAGCAAGACAAACAGACAGAGTTACTTTCGCATTTTATAGTATAGAAGTATAGATGAACATAGGCGGCGAAGTTCGCTATTAAATATGATATAATAGGTATTTTCATATAGCCATGTGGCATGTATACCAGGGTATTTGGGTCATGTATACGCTAGGATGCGGCAATGTGAACAATAACATACATATATTATGTAGTTTCAGTCGTTTCATGTACGAAGGGCAGTTCGTCCTAATGATGGGGTGTACAGTTTTTCCTGGTATTTCTTCTTACATAGTTATCTGTGTGCGCAAAACACGAGAACTTTTGGACCAATAGAGCATTTTTTTAAATAATCGTGATATTCTAAGGAAGGTTATGATAAGAAAATGTATTAAAGTTTTTTATAGGAATAATGCGGAACAAACAGTACGTCATTTTCTGTATGGGATGTGGATTTCTACAGGGATATTATTAGTCCAGTCAATGAATGCTTTAACAACGGTGTAGAGAGAAATCCTTGGAACACAATTTCTGACCTCGGGACTTTATTTAGACTAGTTAGGAGGTGAACATAGTAAAAGTCCCCGCCCTTAGCCCTTAAGCCGGTGGGGAGAGGGGGGTTTAAAGGTACCTCTTTTCGGTTTTTCGCTTAATCCTCGGAAACTATACGTTCTAGTGACATGTCTACTATGAACCAAAAAAAGCTTATTCAATTTGCTACAGGTGAGACAGTCAAGTTTTTCTATATCTTGTATAGTTTTCGCGGTATCTGCTCTAGAAGGTCTGTAATATTGGAAATTTTAATTTTGTCTTACATGTTCCTATCAGGAGAAAATCGACTAAATCAACATTAAGCAAACATTATAGACATGCGGGAGCATGTTAAGCCTAGTTCCAGGGAGGGGACTGCATCGTGCGTATATTTAGACGAACTAATTGCTGCCACTTTTGACTCCTCATCACTCAAAAAGCACTGTGAATTAACACTTCAAATTAGGCTCATGTGTTGAGACTTGCAAGATAAACATCAGCTTCAAATTTCATAAATATACCTCAAATGGTTATTTAGGTATTCCCGCATGTCTAGAATATTAGCTCAATGTTGATTTAGTTGATTTTCTCCTGATGGAAACATGTAAGACAAAAATAAAATTTCCAATATTACAGACCTTCTAGAGCAGTTGCCGCGAAAACTATACAAGATATAGAAAAACTTGACTGTCTCACCTGTAGCAAATTGAATAAGCTTTTTTTGGTTCATAGTAGCCATGTCAATAGGACGTATAGTTTCCGAGGATTAAGCGAAAAACCGAAAAGTGGTACCTTTAAACCCCCCTCTCGCCGCCGGCTTAAGGGCTAAGGGCGGGGACTTTTACTATGTTCACCTCCTAACTAGTCTAAATAAAGTCCCGAGGTCAGAAATTGTGTTCCAGGGATTTCCATCTATAATGCTTTATTGACTGGACTATATCGTATTATGATGATGGTAAAGAAAGAAAGTCTTTCCAGTTCACAATAAAACCTAATCCTTTTTGATAAACCTAAATTATACTTTTTGGTTCATTAGTATCAAAGCGCTATTTTAAAAAAAAAGAAATAGACAGAAAATACAAAGGTGTTTTACCAACAAAGGAAAAAGACAATCACCAATTTTGGTATTCAATCCTATCCACGCTTCAAGAATGAGTATGTAACCTACGCTACGAGAACATCGTAGTCGTCTACGTACTACGGCTATGCTACGCACGTAGCTTCCTCAATCCGCGTCGAGGGGGTATCAAAATGAATTATGTGCCCACAGGGTACGCTGGAGTGAGACTAAAAATAGGCACACGGTCGCTAATATTATGTACAGGCGACAGCACATCAAGCTATACATTTTCGTTGCAAACTCGCCCCTATCGCAACTACGTAAGATACCGCAGTGTTTACGTTGACGTGCTGTCGACCGTACTACCCGTTCGCGCTAAGTTTGCCGGTCTGTGGAATGCGCGTCAACCGCGATTAAACGCAATTAGTTAGTGACTAAACGCAATTAAGTGTCTTATTTTACGCAAAGACACAATTTTTATCAATATTATTATTTTTAATATAGTTTGTTATAGTTATAGACGCGTGACGTCATATCGCCAGCGGCAAACTTATCGCGAACGGATAGTAAGTACTTGTGTTTTTTTAGCCCAGGCGCAGACTACCGATTTTCAGTCGGCTTATATTTGGACCCCATTCTAATTTGTTTTTTATCGCAAGTTTCGTCACTTACTCCATGACCATGGCGCTTGCAACAGCGCCGAAATATCGGAAACTCAAAATTAAGTAGCAATCCCGTCAGAAATAATAATTAAGTTTTCTTCGTTAATTATAACAAAATAAATATCGGCTATGCTTTGTAGACTATACTACTAATCAGGAATAAAAAGTAATAAAACTAGGTAATTGGTTATAAAATTTTAATTAAAATACATATTTTTCATTTTATACATACGACTCTGGGTTATTACATTACATTTACCTACGTTCATCTACTAAATAAAATTGTAAAAAAATAAATAATTGATTATCTATTAGGATAAAGAAATACATTATGTATTACAAAATGTTACATTTTATAATATAAGGACGTGGCACTTACTTTTACGAGTAGTTACATAAACACTATAGATAGAAGAAATTTGTGTAGTAATATTTGACTATGTATACATTTTTATATGTTACCGACTAACGTAAAGTGTAAATTGGTTAAGTCATAGGTTAAGTGTAAAGTGTAAAATTGTATTTGTATGTTGATTAGAACGTTAATTTTTAAGTGTCTAATGCCCGTTTTCACCATCAATCCCTATTTTTAAAGTGATCCCTATGAAAATAAAATTCATGTTATGTGTTACCATTGGGATCACTTAAAAATTAGGAATTGATTAACGCATAATGTATAATGCGTAAAGATAGTAGTCATGTAGAATGCTTTGAGTATTGATTTAATGATCTAAATAAGGTAACTAGTAGGTACATTTTATAGATGTAGTAGGGGATACTGAGGAGAGTTGTGTGAGCTCGCAACAACGTGCATTTGTTGGCTCGAGACTTGAACTAAAATCACGCAATGTTACGAGCTCACTAGTTAGTAGGTAGTTGATAAGTTCCAAAAAATCGAATGTCACAACTCTCCTCTCTAGATCTCCCCTAGTAATGTGGAATATTTTAATATTGATTCAAGGACCTGTACTGGACCTTACAGGAATTCGTTGACGGGTTGTGGCAGCACCAAAGATTCCTCAGTCAACCTATCTAACCTTCCAAAATAAATAACATCGGATATTAACTTCTGTGCTATAATAACTTGACGGTTATTCAACTTTTGGAGTTGAACGCTTATTGATTTTCCTATAATGTCCCAATCGTCGTCCTTGGTTTGGTCATACTGAACTGATTTATCAGCTTTTTCTACTATTACTTGGTCGTTTATTTGTTTCTCAGGTGTTTTTTCTTTAATATGCTTACATTTCTTCTTGTGTGGCATATAATTATTGTTATCAGCATATTCTCTTTCGTTAATATTTACTTCTTCGACTGACGATGCCTCCTGAAAGGTTTAACAACATTATATCTTATTCAATAGGAAGGGGACATGGAATACAATTAATTCAAAAGTATTATTGACAAAAGAAATTAAAATTAGTATATTATTGGTAATGTTAGCATGCCTATTAGCTCAGTAAAAAACTGCATTAATTTCTGAATAAGTTAATAAGTTAACACTGATTTATAGAATAATAAATAAGAGAAAAACCTGTGCTAAGACAGATACTTATTAGTACACAGCTTTCGTATGCCAAATTGACAGCTGACAAGTGCTGACAACACTACAAAACGTCTTTTACCATCGTAATAAGATAAGGGTGAGGTTGAGAGAGGAGGTAACGCAATTAAGACCCTCATTCTGTGGCCATAGAATGCATATTGATCCCTAAGCATGACCAGTGTCAGGGGACTATGTGTCTTATGTGAATGGCATTCGGATAAAATTTAATGGTCCAGGATGAAATTCAGAATCAAAAAGGGTTGATTCTACTGTTCAAATACAATAACTGGCCGAGAAACCCATATCGCTGACCGGCTATTTTTATGGAAAAATACATTTCCTTTTTACATGTTATAAAAATGGCCGTAAATCATTGAGCAGTAAAGTCAGTCTTACCTTGGCTTTTGCACAAAACTAAGGTACATATCAGCAATCACGTTTAAAACTGGATTAAAGTCAACCATAGATACGATTCTGAGCATGAAAGCACATTGTAATCACAGGTTTGTCTCTGTTCTTAATATTTTGTAGTCTTAACTAGAATGTTATTGAATACTATGCTATAAATAGTTTCAAAAGGGCTTAACATAGGCAGGAAAGCTATACCAGCAGAGTGGGGTCCTTTTCAACTATTAACTAAAATGTCATTTTAATAAGTAAATTTATTCTGAGACCACATTTTACTAGGTGTAGTTTGGTAGTGTTGCCAGCAAAATACATAATTCAGATCTTAATTATTTCTACGTTATGATTTGGCTTGATGAAGCTGTCATCGCCTAGCTAGAGACAAAAGTTTCAAAATAAATAAAGATAAAAAAGTACTTTTTATAAAAATATACTTATACGTACTTCACTATCCCTGAGTATTGTACAGTCGTCCTCCATAAGTGCTTCTCTGTTATTACTATCCCTGAGTATCATACAGTCGTCCTCCATAAGTGCTTCTCTGTCCTTGATCATTGTACAATCGTCTTCCACCGCCTCACGCCGCATAAAATGGTACGCGTGATAGAACCATAGAGTTGGTTCGTAGATCTTGTCAGTTTGTTTTGCTTTTTGAACCTAAAACAGAGCAAAAAAGTTAACTGATGATTCCAAATTTTAAGTTTTTTTAAAGATTTTTTTTTATAATTTGAAATTGGAAAATAAGATTTTTTGGCTATGGCCACCCGCGCTATTAAATATAGAATTTTAAAAGAATCTGCTGCGTTGCCTGTCCTGTAGTTTTTTTAGTAAGGGGAAGTTAAGGCTAGGGAAATGGAGTACACAAGCAAAGCATGACGTGTAGAACTTTTTAGGGCAGTAACACACGTCCCAAATGTAGTTTGCTCTACTTACGGAATAACATTTGCTCAAGCCCAGACTGTTACTGTTAACTTACCTAGATTGTTAGGTATGTTACCTATAGCAAATAAATAAATAAGCAATAAGGATTTACTTAAGATTTGAATAAGTAGTAACAGTGGGCTGAGTGTGAATTTAAAAAATGTATGAAAATTTTAGTTTTTGAACGTTGCCACTAGGGGCGTAGTTATTATTCTGTGGTAGTATGTATGCTGAAGAGATTTGAGCTCTCCTCACAGAATATTGGATCAACTTAACAAGGGTAATAATAATTACCAACTGAGCGTTAAATACTAGAGATGAAACGGATATCCGGTAACTATCCGGTAGGCCGGATATCCGGCCTAAATTTATTATCCGGCCGGATACCGGATAGTAACTCACTATCCGGCCGGATACCGGATATTAAAAAACTACGACAATTTCTTATTAATAAAATGAAATACATTAATCTTTGAGGTAAACAACATCAATAAAATGGCTTATAATAATTACGGCTTTTAGAGTCCAAAAAGTCACATTAAGGCCTTTAAAAAAACTAATTTCTTTTTCTGGGCTATTCACTCTAATGACGAATATGTCGGCGCCGGACACAGATGCTGCAAATTATTATTGATGATTAATAGTACCAATCTTAATATTATGTTATCCGTAGAAATCTGTAGAGCAGAAGGTTTGTGATTCCTAAACGTAACACCCGACTGATGCGCAGAAAAAGATAACTGTCAATCAGTTGTGTCATGTCAAGTGTGAGCAGGCGGCTGCGAGGTTATCTTTGAAAGCGTGTTGAGTTTGGTGGAACGTTAAATTGTAGGAAAAGTGATTGTCAACCATCCAAGATATTATCTCCTTGCCCGTTAACCCACGCCTATGGAGATTCCACCCCTAGAGTTCCTTCTGATAGAGACCCAGTGCCTTTAAATACATAAATAGTAAATATCTGTTAAGTCGAAATATTGCCAAATAAAATAGGCGATCTTTTTTTTTACTGATGGTCTGATGTCATGATGCAGTTCAGTCAGATTACGCAGCAAAGTAAACTAATTTAATTTTCGCTATTCAATCACACACTCACGATGGCAACCGAAATCGCCCGAATTGATCTGCCCCCTAGACAAGTGGCAAAATCTGACATTCTATTCGCACTGATTCGATTTTCGAAAAGTGTGACTAGTCTAGTCTACTAATAGACCCACTGATCGCGTTAGAAGCACCTGTGCGGCGCTAAACTCATCACGACATGCAACGAGACAATGGGCCAACTATCCGGCCGCCGGATATCCGGCTATCCGGCCTAGCAGCTGGCCGGATATCCGGTATCCGGTATCCGGCCAAACAACTATCCGTTTCATCTCTATTAAATACCACTGCTTAGTAAACTTCCCATATTGTTAAGAAATTTAAAGATCCAGATTAAATGAAGGATGATTAAAACGTGTGTAGGAGGGCGCACGTTAACACATATTTTATAAGCCTTGTCAGATATTTGTTTACAAATGAGTTTAAGTAAAAAGGTCTTATGTTCATAACATTAAGGCTGGGTTGCACCATCTTACTTTGACTTTTACAAACGTCAAAAATCTGTCAAACTCCATACAAAAAGCACCAGTTATCGCTATAGTTACCGTTAAAGTTAGGTGGTGCAACTCAGCCTAAGAGTAAAAGTCATACGAGTACCTATAACACAGATAAATGCTGATTTACCTTACCTTTCTCAACTCGTTAAAGTAACTGGTCCTCATATGTTCCAACTTCTTTTTTAGCATTTTTGTAGTAGCCTTAGGCTGTATTGTTTTGTATATATCTAGCAATACCCTGTACCCTTCATTCCTCAAGTGTTTGTTGTAGTATTTATCAGTGGAATTGTTCCATATGTAGGGCATCTCTTTAAGCGTTTCTATGAGGTTTAAGTACACTTCTTTTTCTCTAATTGTGGCCATTATAACTGAGTAATAACACTAAATCACAAACGAGTCCGCTCCCAGAGCGCTGCGCGCGCCGACTGGCGTGGCGTCCCTAACATGTCTAGTGATGTCCTGATGGATGACAAATCAAGTTATCGAATATCAACTCGCGTAACGAATGGGTCGTGTCGTCGTTGTGATAGGGGTGCGACTTGTAAGGCCAAGAATGTAGATGGTTCTCAGTTTTATCGATAAATAGATGGTAATGAGATTGATGTACAACCATCCGGGAACGTAGTATGATAGTAATATTGGTTAATTTCTTTCAATTACCCTGTCATCGTCCAAGAAGAAATCTCTTTACAGATAGAGGTAATCCCGCTAGTACTTTCTATATTTCTTATCTATATCTTATTAGGTATAAATAAAATCTGTACAAAAACTGACAAATAAAATAAGTAGTTAGTCATAGTAAAATAGAATGTAAACTAAATACGGATTATAGTGTCCTTCTATGGCCGTCGTTTTCTCGTTGACTAGATGTTAATCAGATCCAAAAGTTATTTTTGTAACTCACACCGTATTGAATCCTACGCAATACCTATTATCATTTGAACAAACATAACTCTGTCTCCGTGGACGTGTTTTTTATCGAACTCGATACATAATACTCGGCAAACCTATCACATCACTACTCCCCCACCCCAACTAGAAAGATCCACGAGTGAGGGATGCAAACAAGTACCTATAAGTCTGTGCCAGACAGCAGGCATGAATGGAGCAAAACAGAATCTGCTTTGTCCCCTTGTTTCAACCATTTATACTTAAACTAGCGGCCGCCCGCGACTTCGTACGTGGCGATCCCGTTTTAGCCCCTTTAAGGGCTGAATTTTGGAAAATCGCGTCTTAATGAGGAGCTACGTTCTAAAAGGAACCCCCATGCTTTTGAGACTCCTAGCATTTGTAGTTTCTGAGATTTCGTTATGAGTGAGTGAGTCAGTCAGTGACCGTTCGCTTTTTTTATGTGACAGGAGATTATACTTAGATATACATCAACCATTATTTTCAACATTTTACTGTGTTAGCAAGTTATTTATAAAATAAACAAAAAGAATAAACAACAGTGAACTGACCCTAAGTAGACAATCTAAAAATCATTATTATATTCTTCTGACACAAAAATAGTTTGTTCACATCACTAGGTACATAACAATTCAGTTAAAATATGTACTTTCAATATAGGTCAGCCTTATTTGTGAGCAAGATTGGAAATTCATTAACTATAGTGATTGTTTAGTCATACACCACAGTACAGTTTATGAAAATCGTGTCTTGTAACATGACCACGGGATAAAATTTATATTTTTTAAAATTAATTATTGACACTGCAAGAATGTATTTTAGATAATCCAGTGCTTCTGGTGTTGTACTTTCAGTCTGAGTTGCAACAAGTTGCTGACACTTTAAATACATAGGTATAACAAACGTTAGAATTTTGTCAAAGTCCATACAAAAATACCGATTATAGTTATAGTTACTGTTAAAGTTAAGAAGGTGCAACTGAGGCTAGTTATGCACTTTTTAAATTCACAAAAATGCATTTGGATTAAAATTTCATAAAGTGTAGAGCTAGTCATTTTACCTTAACTTACGGTATTCAATAAAACGACGAAGCACTTCGAGAAAAGATGCCCTAACTAGTCTTGGCGAGGGCACTCCCGTGCCCCCATATTTCCCATTACTTATTCAATGGCATTCGATATTTAAATGTTTGTATATTTAAAAAGAACAACAAGCATTTATACACACAAAGTTTCCCAATAAAAAACCTTTTGCTCCAGACTGGAGGGGATGAAGGGTGTTTCGTTTGCAAATGGAACTCCAGATTCCAGATTCGCAATGTCCGTTCAAAACAATTTCAATAGTTCACTGAGCAAGACCCTGTTGAATATACAAGAAATGTTCATTCAAATGTTCAACGAATTCCGATAGTTTTTCGAGTGAATGGTTATCCCGTCGAAAACATAAAATGTAAAATGAAAGCCAAGTTCAATATTATGATATATTATGTCTTGATTGTTGTCTTCTATGACAAAAGAAGTGAGATTTATTTATCGTATTTTAACACGCAGCATAAAATAGCACGTAAAATCTGGGGGCACGGCAGTGCCCCCACCAAGTCGAGCAAAAAAGCGGCACGGCCGTACCATCCTTTTCTCGAAGCAATTCAGGCCATTTTCGACCGCCTGTAACTTCGTTGTGGATAAAACTAGAAGGCTGAATTTTCATTAGCTATGCAGGAATTGTAAAGACACGGTATATTTAAAATTTCATTCAATTTGAACCAGTAGTTTAAGAATTATAACGGGTCAAAGTTACTTAATTTTGTCACTCACTGACTCACTGACTGACTCACTGACTGACTCACCGATCATCAAAACTCTAAGGCACTTCTAGCAGACCTAGAAGCTTCAAATTTGGAATATAAGTAGTGTTTGGTGTATGAATCAAGGAAAAACTAAAATATTTGGGGGCACGGTAGTGCAACCGCCAAGTCGAGTAAAATTTTTCAATTTCGGTCCAGTTTTCTAGATACATAACTGCTGTCTACAAAATACAAAAAGAAATGAGATCCCATCAAAAACAATACTTGTCAAAAAAACCAAGTCTCGCAACTCAGTTGTTCTACGGTAAAAAGTTGTGAGATCCATGTAATACCAAGTCCAGGCCAGGAAATCTTTAACGTTTTACATAAAATATTGACTTGGCCATCGCATGAAAACACGTGTAAATTAAATTATTTAGTGCGATGGCCAAGTCAATATATTTATGTAAAACGTTAAAGATTTCCTGGCCTGGACTTGGTATTACATGGATCTCACAACTTTTTACCGTAGAACAACTGAGTTGCGAGACTTGGTTTTTTTGACAAGTATTGTTTTTGATGGGATTAAGTTTTAGCGTAGTGAAACCCCTTAGATTATAAAACTGTTTCGTCATAAGACAAAATAATAATTCCTTACAATGTTAAATGTTAGTAGGTATAGTTGCTTTGTTGTTTGGCTATTAGATATTACTCGTATATTCGCAAGGACATAAATTCCCATTACTGGTGATCTAAATCCACCACTGAACACATATCTAAAGAAAAATCAATTTCCTATTCGTTTTATCATTTTATTGGAAGGCAATTCCACACTTAGACCCACGTCAGTGTCTCGAAACATGAACGTAAATGGAATACAGTTTTGTTATAAAATAAACGCGTCTTTTCTATTTACTTAAAGTTTGTTACGATTTCAGCATTTTTTTGCCTTTTTAATTAAGCTCAGTGCTCTCATTTTAAGTAAAACTTTTTTTTTATTGTGTATTCGTTTTATACTAGTGACTTGCCCTGGCTTCGTACGTGTGCTATGTATGTACTCATTTAAAACCTCCTGAATCAATATCTATTGCAGAAAACTGCATTAAAATCAGTTGAGAAGTTTAAAGATCTAAGCTATCAGCGACTTTATTATTAATCGACTTCAAAAACCGGCCAAGTGCGAGTCGGGCTCGCGCACAAAGGGTTCCGTAGCAGCAAATATAATAAACTTATTATGTCAATTTATACACCTGGTGAATGGAGCCTAAACTCTCCCGATATTTTGCCTTGTACTTTTATGTATGAATATTAATTTTATATATGTATTTATAAATATTCCGAGCTAAAGAGGTGGCAAAAGCAATGGCAAACAAACCACAATCAATAGTATTCGGTTGTCGCTGAACACTTGGAAACTGAATACATGACTCCGATAGATACGGAAACAAGGCTTTTACATATATTTTTTGCGATTTTCCTAGAACACCAACAAGACTATCGTACACACGCAGTATTCCATTAATGTAATAAATACAACTCCAGTGCCCCACTAATCCCACGTCACCGTCATAAATTACTTGAAGGTGCGTCTCATTTTTAGGTACAGGTTCAATCAGTTCAGGGTGTTGAAATAATTCTAGCTCACGCGGTCTAAATGATGTGCACCGAAGTAACTTTTCATGAAATGCGCGAACCACATCATCTTCGATATAGTTATTATAATTCAGAATGTAGGAAAACGTATTATCTAAAGTATCCATTGTTAGATGATATACAATAAGCTTTAGAAATTTTAAAAACCTGCTACGAAACACTAAAATTTGCACCAAAAACAAAGGAATTTATATTATTGGGGGATTTATTAGTACGTGACCGGTTTAATAGCACCTATTAAACCAGTATACCTACTTACTTATTTTTTATAATAGGTACAATTCAATATTAAAAAGTCTCAACGCCAAATTCGACTTGCGAAAGAAGTAAATGGGAACGATGAAATTCTCTTAGCGCGCACAAGTGACAACGACGTCTGCCCTCACGTGTCTGCCCGTTCGGGTCGACGCGGTTAGCTATCTTATCCCCGCTCCCGCGCGAGACCACGCCCCGCAACTCACGCGCTGCAGCGCAGCGAGCGACCGATCTTCTTGAATCGATGTAATAATAATCTATAGGATTAACGCGTTTTAAAAATATTGGTTCGATGGATATGTTTAACCTATTATTACTCAACAATCACATTTGTAATATTAAACTTTATCAAATGCACAATGTATTTAAGGTACATTACTGGATAAGGATTAATGGCGTATTGCTTGAATAAGCTAATATTTCTCGTAAAAAGTACCTACATTATAAAGATTTTATATCATCGCGGATTTTAAAAGGTGTACAATACTGTAGTATATTTTTTGATCTATCTTATAAGGTTCAGCCATCGTTTTCAGTGTAAGCACAATAACTTAACCAAAATTACAGTTAAATCAACCTATCTCAAAAACTATAAGAGATACTTTGATCAAACCAAAAATCGTTGAAAGAGTTAATTAGCATGCATCACCTCTATTTTTTTTAGAATTTTATACCCCGTAGTTATAAAAATAGAGGGGGGGGGACATACTTTTTACGACTTTGAGAGCTGATATCTCAAAAACCGTTCACTTTAAGAAAAATGTTTTTTAGAAAACTTTATATCATTTTAAAAGACCTTTCCATTGATACCCC